GATTAGCATATAGTATCTCTTTGAGAACTGAACTTTTTGACCAATTTTACATATAAGAACGGACTGGTCGGATTAGAGAGTTGACTGTATACGTAAAATAAAATTAAAAGCACTAAAATTTTATTATACGTAAAACAACTTATATACCTTATACGTATTGTAGTATATATATAAATTTTAGTATACATTTATAATTTTCTAATCCGTTACCCAACAGGTAACCCAAAAATTTTGGCATAGCTTATAACAGTAAGCACAATACAGTATATATATACGTATCAGAATGTATCATCTATAGTTGTGATCGATATGTCAAAAAGTTACATATATATTAATATTTGACGCATAACTGTCAACAGGTGTCATAATATTCATTTTTGTTATCGAAGACCTTGGCATAGTAAAGTTAGGCTCAAAGTCAGCCCTAAAATCCTCTCTCGATGTTGCCTCCAATACTAGATTTTCAAATTCTCGCACAATTTATTTATTTTTTGTATTGGAGTTATAATCAAAAAATCCAGTTAAATTACGTAAATGCTTTCCTTAGAAGTTCAGTAATTTGAATTGGAACACCAATCGCCCAACACTGGTTACGACATATGCTGTTGCGACACTTTTGACGTCTTTTTGACGTAGTCATGCGTCTGTACTGATCGAATCGTAATCAAGCGGTTATTATATTATGATACAAATATAATGAAAGAATTATGATGTCATGAGATATTCATAGTTTGCTGCATAAATGCAGGTTCAAATAAAGGCCTGCGCGGGCTGAGCCGTGCCGAAATTAAATTTCATCTCATCTAACGCAGTAACATTACACGCCACTCTGGTTATATCGACTCACCCAAACATGAAGAAATTACTTGGTTTATTGTATGTCCAAAATTCTAAATATTATATTCAGATGTCGTTATAACTAGTGACGTATATATCATTATAAAGATTATTGTTTTTTTTTAGCTTCGGGCATTTGTACGTATAATTTAATCAGAAAAGTCCAGTTTTGGATAGATACAATACACTAATGAGAACATTCCGATACGAAATAAATATAGTTTTCACCATTATAAAGTCCTTTACAAACTGTTAATTCAAATAACGCCGCATAATTTAATTTTTACTAGATGATATACTTTGTTCTTTTTAATAAACTACTATACAGTTGTTGCCCTTTTTACTAAAAAATAATAATAATAAAATAATAATAATAAACCAAAGTAAAAAAGTTCAACTTTCTCTCATATGTGTAATCTGTTTGACTTTATATAAAAACTAACGTAATGTAAAGCAACAAATTACTATCTACGTTAGTGATAGAAAGACAAACAAACTTTGTGCAAAGCATGACTAACAATAAAACAGTGAAAATATAGTCGTAATAAGAATATCCTACACCATTAAGATATTAGATAATATACAGAATCGTTAGACTTGAATCAATCTCCTCCTCGGCAACCTTTCCAAGCTATTCATAATTCAATTAGTTTTTTATATAAACTAAAAAAGGTAGAAGACAGAAAAGTAAATGGACTTACCAGGAAATCCACAAAATGATGAAATAATAAAGTAAACGATGAACTAAAATTTTAAATATTAATAAATATAATTACATAAAATGATAACCGTAACTTAACAATTAGAAAACTTACTAGAGAGACAAATCCTATAAGGATCAATAATTTGGTATTTTTCCACCACATTGATCGCTGTTTGAGTTAAATTAATTATTTAGTGAATAGATAATAATAAAACAAAGGGTTAGGAGTTGTTAAATACCCTCAAAGCGGTACTTCGTTTCTTGAAAGCGAATGCTTGTTGGTTAAGATTATCTGTCTTGTCTACCAATAATTCTATTCTTTCACCACGTTCTAGAACACGTTCTATAAAAAAAAAAAAATTTAAGTTAGATATTATTACAATATCAATTTTAAATTGTATGAATGATAATTTTATGGAACGCCTTATATAAGGCAATATAAAATTAATTAATTGTTTCTCATAATCCAGCCGGGTCAGCTTTTGTAAATTTTCGATCCAAAATTTTATAAGCTATTTAATACTTCCGGGTGGGTTTTTAATACAGTCAAACCTCTCTATAATCGCACACTTGGGATACAAAACAGTGTGATTGTAAAGAAGTGTGACAATTATAGAGGTCAAATTTATTATATTTAATAATAGATTGTTTTTAAAAAAATGTGCCTATAAAGAAAATGTGCTTATATAGGAGGTGACTATAGAGAGGTTTGACTGTATACGTTTTAATATTTTCTAGACAAAGAAAATTTTTACGATTTAAAAATTAAAAGCCGGGCGGGCGGTCACTTTTAGAATTCTATGTTATGAGAAACAATTATTTAATTTTGTATGGCCTAATGCTAAATCATTAAAAACATTTACCAATATTATGAACCATAACATCTTTGACTTGCTCGATTTCTCCATGTACTTTTTTGAGTCTGTCAGCTTCCGGATTAGATGAAAAATATTCCTACAAATAATATATATATGTAAATAAGAAAACATAAATTCTGTCCCAGAAAAAAAAAAGGAATAATTACCATCTGTTTTGCAATAACTTTACAAAATTCGTTTAGACCATAAGTTGGCGCCTCGTCAATTCTATCCTTGGAATAAGTGGCTAAAAATCGTTCCTTAATGTCTTGCAAAAATGCAAATGGAACTCGTCGGCCGAAGCTGTCATCTGCCATACACATGTACGTAAGTCCATCTTCGCAAATGTAGTGGAATAAGTATCTTTTAATAATAAAATAGTAAAAAAAAAAAACTTGTTTAATATTTGTCAACTTTTTTAAAGCATCGAAACTTATTAACCTACCTGTCATAAACGTATGTTAATTTGGAATTATTCGGTGGAATCTTTTCAAGAATTGCTTGAGTAACTACTCAACAAAGAACTAGATCAGTTAAATTATATGAATTCAAAAAAAAGGTTAACCTCTAAAAGTCATTCAACCTTGAGTAAAATTTCCAGAACTGTTTGTGTGCTCCGCTAGTATTACGGGTCCACGTGCGACCAAACCGTAAATAAGAGACATGCTAAAAATTTATTCAAATGAGAGGCTATACTTTAGAGGCGAAAAAATGAATAAGATTCACCGGCGGCTACAGAATAGCATTATCTGAAATTGGCAAATGCTGCGTTACAATGACTCACGTAAAAGATTCTCAAAATTCGGGGCACAAAATTAGATCATTTTTAAAAAGTTTATTTATATTAACGTTTAACCAGTCATTTTCTGATATTCCGATAAGAATTCTTGTAATACTCGAATTTGTGTGATAATCTTTAATCTTTAATTTTTATCCAAGCGACTTTGTACGTATCAAAAATTGCAAATGTAGTTAAGAAAAGTGTAACTAAAATTCGGGTATATCGAGAAGAGTTTCGGTATAATCATGCTTTGCAAAGGAGATTTTGTTTTTTTTCTTTTTCTTATCCCTTCATCAATATTCTAGGCAAATTTGTCAGAAAATTAATAAGTATTTACATATTATACAATTTTTTAAATAAAATTAAAAAAATATTAATATATACTATACAGTATAATATCAATAAAAATATGGGATGTTAGTAGAAATCAAGCAAGTAAAAATTTTTTTTTAACTTTAAATTAAAATATTTCAACAACTATTAAACCAAACTTGATAAATTTTTTTTATTTTAATTCTATAACTATACAGTAAAAAAGTTTTTATCAAATTTGGTTTAATAATTGAGATATTTTAATTTAAAGTTAAAAAAATTTTACTTAACAATTTGCTTGGTTTCTACTGACACCCGGGTCATTAGAATTGTCTCACCAAGATGAGCATTTTGGTGATAAAATCATTCAAAACAGATCACTAGTTCAAAGATATTCAATGTTAAAATTTAAAATTTATAAGATTTTTAATAATAATTTTTTACAAGTTTACTAAAATGCACCTATGGTCTGAACACCATAAGTGTTATTTCTCAAAAACGTAAATGTTCAGGACTCCTGAACTCTAATTCAGACTATATATAGTTTGTTATATAAGGCTGTTTGAAATTAAAATTTCGTTTAACGTTCTCCCTCCACCTCCAAGAGCTCACCCTAAAATTAAACAGGCCAACATTCATTACGCCAATAAGTCACGTGCTTACAAGCCAACCAATAATAATGGGATTTTATAACATGATACACGAAATTACAATTTCAAACGGCCTAACATGGGTTTTATGAATATAATAAAATTTATACGTATTTAAATTGAAAACTATTTTTTTTATTATTGCGGTTTGTATAATTTTGTAAATTTTGAATATCTGGATATAAATTGTCGTGTCAAGGTAGTTTTAAAAAATCACTAGAGCGCAAGTAATTTTATTTTTTTTATGATCACAATTCCGCACGGATCGGATCGGGTCCAAGTATGGATCCGGATCCGTTTAGATAGACGGATTCTCGGATCCAGTTCGGATTTTACGCCTTTTATATATGACGGATCGGAGAATCCGGATCGGATCTTGTGGAGCACATGGATTTGGTCGAGATTTCATAATTCGGGCCGAATCACATGATTTTGAGTTATTGGAATTGTATGAACTCGCCAATCAGATTAATGGGAATTAACGAATAACGTGATCTGAAACCAACTAAAATCAAAATATACGCGTTATTAATACCCTATCAAAAACGCAACTTTAGTACCACCTTACTTTCGCGTTCTAACAAAGAAAGTAAAAAATGAACCAAAAGAATGAAGAATACCAGAATGAAATTGCAATTAGTTCGCCAATTAGGTAGCCAAAAATACATAAACAAGTCTAGAATTACGTGAACGGTATAAATTAACATTTTATATATCTAATAGAGCACCAATCCAAATGTCCTTAAAAAGTTTTGATATTGGGCGTGGTATTGGTAAAGGACAATTTGGTCGTGTTTATATTGCAAGGGAAAAAATGAGCGGCTATATAGTAGCCTTGAAGGTGCTACCTATTAATGAACTAATTAAAGCAAATGCTGAAAGACAACTAAGACGCGAAGTAGAAATTCAGGCAAATCTAAGGTAATTTAAATAAATATATATATATATATAAATATACAATAATAATCTTTTAATGAGCGAATGAATATTTAATTAAAAAAATACGATAGGCATCCAAATATTCTTCGACTTCTCGGCCATTTTCAAGATAATATATATTTTGTCTTGATCCTTGAATATGCAGCCAAAGGAGAGCTTTATAAACAACTTGTGAAATCCGGTAGACTTAAAGAGAAGAAAGCATCAAGGGTTGGTTATTAAATTTTTTGAATAGATTCAGTACTTAAAATGTTTTTTTGAAATTTATAAACTTTTCTAAAATAGTATATTGCACAAATGGCTGGAGCATTAAGTTATATTCACAAAAAACACGTTATTCATCGAGATATAAAACCAGAAAATTTGCTGATAGATTTGAACGACGAAATCAAGATTGCAGATTTTGGATGGTCTGTGCATACACCAAGTCAAAGGTATTCTGTAAAAGAAGTCACATCACTTCACAAAGAATGTTTAATTAATTTTGTCTTTATATGTCAGACGTAAAACATTTTGTGGTACCTTGGATTATATTCCACCAGAAATGGTTGAAGGTAAAGAACATGATGAAAAGATTGATCTTTGGTCACTTGGTGTTTTGTGCTACGAACTCTTGACTGGAACCGCACCATTTGAAGAAACTGGGCATACTGCAACATATAAACGAATAGCAAAAGTTGAATTCACACTTCCTGATCATTTGTCATACGATGCTAGAGACTTGATTTGTTCGGTAACTATTCTTTAATACCTAGGGCATTTGACTAATAAAGTTATTGATTTTAATTTCCTAATTACAAACACAGTTACTACAACGCGATCCGAAACGACGCCTACCTTTGAAAGATGTTTTAAAACATCCATGGATTCAAAAATACAAGAAAACCTAGTGATTGGAACCATCTGAAAAACCGTGACTCGGCGGGTAGATAAGCTGGTGCATGTTACCAAAATATTGTCATATCTGAATTTTAAAATATAGTAGTTAGGCTGTCCAAATGTCCGTGCTTGATTTAAAGTATTTAAAGTATATAAAATTATATATTTTTGTTTTTTATTTTATTTTAGAGATCAGGTATTTCCACACCTTTGATCACGTGCATTACATAAAGCTGATAGTAAATTGACCCGTCTAAAAAATCTTCACCCGTGTCATCCGTCGGGGGTGGAAACAGGTCAGTTTAAAAAAAAGTTGCCACCCGGGTTAATTAAAAAACAAGCCCAGGTGATTAATGCCCTGAAAATAATACGTCGTTATAAAGTGATAAAGTTTTTCAATACAGTCACCCCTTTAAATGCACGCCCTCGGGACCATAGTAAAAAAAAAAAAAAAAAAGACAAAATATGCACTTAGAGAGGATGTGCGTTTAGAGGGGTTAATATTTATAATTGTTGTATTATTTGGGATCAAAAGGGGCACTTAGAGGAGTTTTTCATATACCGTGCACTTACTTAGGGAGTAGGCTATACATCCATACAGTGTTGAAAATTCGTTGTGCATGTATTGTTTTTTGCACAAAAATTAACAATTACTGTGCAATTGCACAAAAAATAAAATAACATTCCTGTATAAAAAAATTTTCTTGCATCCATATCGTTAAAAGTGCTTGACTAACCCAGCGATGTTTTGAAAGCACCATATTTCTGTATTCAAGTTTATCAATTTATATGCCGAAATCACGAATTTAATTGAATCAGTCATCGGCCAATTTTTATCAGGTGTCTCAGAAATTATGATAATAGCTTCAAGCAATGTCTTTGGAAGCTAATATACTGCAAAACTATGGTCAACCCGCGGGATGACCCACCCGTTTTCATAACTTAACCCGGGTCAAACCACTAGAGCCGGAATATTTGATATTGTTATCATAATAAATTTATAACTTATAATAGAGATGTGGAAATATTTGTTTTCTTTTATAATTAGGAATTGAAACTGTCTAAAGAATTTTATTATTTAATTATTTAACCGTTACTGGCTTTAATAAATTTTGGGTTAACAACTAACATTTTGCTTAAACTATTATTGTTTATCTATAACAGATAATGTTTCTTAAATAACAATGAAAAGTAACTAGATATGTTGTAATTATTATTATGTAAAGTTACCAAATGCAAGAATAATTATTGATAGATTAAATAATAAATAAACAAGATAATATTAGCAAGAAATAATATAAGTGTTTAGAAAATATTACATGCTTTCTATATTAACTTCTAATTAGGCAGTATTCATAATTTATGCTAAACCAGTACTGTATTGTATAGAAATAGAGATCTTTATAATAATATTATATAGTATTATTTTTGTATTATCTTTAAGATTTCTACAACAATACTGGTTTAGTATAAATTATAAATACTACCTTATATTTATTTTTTAAAAAGAGGTTGTTCATAATTTACGTTAAACCAGCATTGTTATAGGGATTTTAAAGATAATACAAAAATAATACTATATAAAGTTATTTTCAAGATATCTATTTTTATACAATACTGTACTGATTTAATGTAAATTATAGATGTTTCTAAAATATCTTGTTTTATTAATTATATTTTTAATAAAATTGCATAATGCTATAATGTATTGAAATCAAAATTTCTAAATTAATTAGAAAATACCAAATGCAGTTAAACTTCT